TACTAAATTTTCTTTCTGTGCCATTGTTTGGTGAATAGCACACGATCACGTAAAACGCCACGCTACGTAAAACGGTATAACTAAGGATAATAAAAAAACTCTGGGCCTTTCAAACGTAAAGATAGACAATGAAATTAAAAAAAAAAAAGAGGTGACGAGACAACCGATATGTGACACTTTCGCAAACGAGAGAGGCGTTTCGTGTTGCGAGGAACCACAAAATGCCAGCCGAATGCATTCTTTCGTCGTACTTCGTCTTGAAAAGCTTTTTTTTTTTTCATCGCTACGAGAAGGAGAAACAATGAATACCATGCAGCTTACTAAGCGGCGCTAAAATAACGCTTCGACGCTACAAGTCACGCGCGCCCTCAAGCGGCGGCACCGCTCCCCGCTGCGAATCGCGCGAGCGCTCGTCCCACTCTGCGTGCGCGTCTGCCTCCAGTGACGCACTAGTTCCGTGCAGCGTCAAGAAGGCGAGTGCCTTCCAAACTTCGCGAAGAAGCCATCTACCGGAGGGAGTCGCGAAGTGGTTTCAAAGGAGGGGGGGGGGGGGGGGGGAGATCAAAAAGTGCCGCGTCGTAACTGTCTCTCTCAGAGGAGGTAACAGCGCCACCCAGGGGATGGGGGAAGAACAGAACGACGACAAAGAGACAAGAAGGACACGAAGGACACGTCGGCGTTCTGTTCTCGCGCTGTAACTATCGTCGTGTCATACCAACTAGCCCAAACTGCCATACTTCTAGGATGGGAGAAGTCAAGCGCATGATATTGTTACCCCGCACCTTCCACCAGAAGATGTTACGGGGAAGATTTGTTCACCGACAGCAGGTCTTGCTAACGGCTTAAAGAGCGCACAGTCATGCAGGCCAAACGGGGGAAGCTCGAGAGACCAACCCGCAACAGCCACGTTGTCGTCTTCCTCCTTTCGGGTGCCATTTCAGCTGTGCTGAAGCGACAGTTCCATACACGTATCAATATATGCGAAAGCGCTTTCGAACTGAAAACTTCAAATCTACGAACCCCATTGGTCCTCCATAGCTTCGTTGGACTTGTGCAAAGCAGGTAATCACGGTCAAAAGTCCACCGCGGTGGATCAGTGGCTTCGGTGTTCCGCTGTTGACTCGAAAGTCGGGGCTTTGATCCCGGACAAAGTGGTCGTATTTCGGTGAAGGCGAAGTGGTTGTGGCCCGCGCGCTGCTGTGCAATGTCAGGTCACGTTAAAGAACACCAAACGGTCAAAATTTCCAAAGCCCTCTACTACAGCGTCTTCTCATAGTCACATCGTGCTTTTGGGACGTCAAACGCGATTATTATTATTATTATTATTATTATTATTATTATTATTATTATTATTATTATTATTATTATTATTATTATTGCGACTCAAGAGGCCAATCCAAGGCTAAAACGACGTTTGCACTCTGGCTCATCGAAAGCCGCAAATATCTGCATTGTAGCCGTTGGTTGGATCGGTTGCCTGGGATTGGAAGAGCTGCCTTATTCAATCAAGAAAAAAAAAAGGAGAAAAAAAGATTAAGGGAGAAGAGTAGGTTGGGAGGAGGCGAGTGGCTGTGGCGTATAACTTTCATTGACGTGCGACCTATAGAAAACAAAACATTCCAATTGTCCAAGACAGACCCAGGGCAGAACCCTGACTGAACATGCGTGGATTAAACTCTGCCCGTATTTTAATGTCGTCACACGCTGCGCCAGAGAGAACCACTTGTTCGCAAAGACAAGAGTGATACAACGTCACATGCGCGCTAATTGGCCGCGGCTCTGGCGCAATGCACGCAACTATCAAGGAGAGGGAAGGCGGCGCACCAGGGAGCGCGGTGCAGACTCGCATCTGCTGCGGCTGCAGAAGCGACGCCTGACGGCGAGCCGCTTGATTTCTCAAGGCCAACTAAGCGCATTGGTCGGCGTCCTTGGGTCATCGGGGCCTGATTGGTCCCATCCTCACGCGAAACTCGATTGTCGGGTAAAAATAAGAGCAGAAAGGTCCGGCCGCTGAAAGGCGACAACGGACAGAAAAGTTGCGCAACCTAGGCTGGTTTGCGGAAGCGTCTCGGCTTCCGGGCACGAGCCGCGCTAGAAACAAAGCAGCGGTGTAGTGGTTTTCTTTTTTTTTTTTTTTTCGTTTCATCCGAGTCGCGTTCGTGCTGCAGTGCTCGCTGTGTCGACATCGCCCACGAGAGCGCCCTGCTGCTCCCGGTTTGTCGTTTCAAATTTACCCCTGCGAGACTAGCTAGCTCTGCTAAAAACGAGTGCGGACTCGGCTACACGGGAAATGGTTTTACGCGCGCAGGCTCCAAACCGCAACACCTTCGGTCTTTTAGAAAACGTGATCGTTGAAATGAGAGAATGGGACAAACGATGGTTTTATCCATTTATTTCCAGAGCGCTGGAAACCGAGTTAAAAAAAAAGAGAGATAATAATTTTTTTTTCTAGAGGTTTACCGCACAGAAGTACCGATAAATAGTACGTCATTTATTTTTAATGAGGATTTATGCATGGCATAGATTATGAGGCAGGTCATAGCCGTGGGCGATAGCGAAGGACTTAAGATTAATTTTGTCCGGCGTTATTATTATTATTATTATTATTATTATTATTATTATTATTATTATTATTATTATTATTATTATTATTATTATTATTATTATTATTATTATTATTATTATTATTATTTCGCGTTCCGAACACGCCGAAACATTTGGCCGGGAAGCGAATCCGCATCCATGAGCAAAACAGTGCGCAGTACATTATGATTGCTAATATACTTATATAATAATGCTCGCTATATAGCTCCGCTGGCCTGAGTATGGTGCTGAAACCACGTTTCGTATTCGAATTTCAGAGAGGTCGATTCGATGGCCGTTGAATTTACCTCGCCACATATAGTAATCGAAATGTATACTATAGACGGTGTTGTGCACAGAAGGATGTGATATTTGGCTAACGTAGGCGATGTGGATAACAGGGAACAGTATCGCGTTATTCAGTCAGTAAAATGTATACAGAACAGCGGCATTATGCGGCTGTAAGAACGTGATAGAAAGACAGCTTTCTTGGCGCAGCTGTTACAACGAGCAGCTGTAACAGACGAAGTCAGCGCGGATGCGAAATGATCGAATGCAAAGGTTGTGATTGAGCATTCCAACCGGGAGAATTGACCTATCTCACACCTGTTGCTTACACTCGATCGTCGCGGTGGTTGGTTCGGAGCACAAAATCGCGAATACGATTCTCCATTGCGGTAACCACGTCGCAATAGAAGTCCCCTTAAGTTCGCATGCGCTGATCGAAGTCATGATGTGCTTCGAAGAACCTGGGTTGGTCGAAGTTATTGGGAACCAGAAGGGTATAGCCAAAACATTTGGTTCAGTCATACGTTCAAATCAATTCGATACTTTCAATCAATTTCAGAGTGTTTCAACCTACCCTGTCTACACCAGTGGTGAATCTATTAGCTAGAGGCCTCGCATTAGTGGCATAAAATGCACCGTTCATCATATAAGCGTTCGCACAGGGGAGCACCCACCCGACCTATTCACCTTAGTTGAGGGATGAGTGAGGGGGGGGGGGGGAGCCTGCCCCCTCCCAGGCTGACGAAGTCCCTAACGTTGCATAAAAAAAACTGTTTACTTTCATCTTTACCCCCGGTATGTCACAGACCAAAGGCAGGCCATTGCTGTCTTTTTTTTTTGTGTGTCGACTCGACCAACAGAAGGTGTGTGGGAGGGGGGGGGGGGACTGCGATGAAATCTCTCCTAATGCAACTCTGTGTATGCCTTTGTCGATCGCAATGCATGTGCAACACTGAAAAAAAAAAAAAAATATGGGTGACCCCCCTCCCCCATCCCGGCAACGTCATGAGATGAACCTTAGGCCTCGCGCTAGCGCCGTAAAATCCACCTCTCTATTACGCATGGTGACCCTCCTGCCAGAGGGGATAGCCTACGAAGATGGCTCGAACACCAATGCTGAATTAGCGACGTCTCTATTCATTGCTTATCCGCAGTGAATAATACTATGTCACATAAGCGGCAGCTGCGTTTTGCAATGTTGGAAGCACGCACGGCCGTCTCCTTTCTGTGGATCTCGCAACTACATGATGTTCCTTGTTAAAAAAGTGAAAAGACTGAGTAGAATAAAAAAAAAAGAGTGGCACGACAATACAATAAGGTGAGTAATACAATATATGTTCTCTCCGCTTTTCATACGTTCACGAGAAAATCGGGCCGTAAATTCATAACCCCGTAGCAACGCAGAACGTTTGCGCTATTTATGCGAGTAAGGTTCACTACGTTCTCTACAAGTGTACAGTACGTTCTGACAACAACCGAACAAGGCAAATAATGCATCCGTCGTTGCGACTATATACCGGTCGTATGAGATAATATTGTGTACATAAAGTCGCTGTACTAGCAGGTACAGACAAGCCATTGTAGCCTAGCCAGCCAATGTTTAACTTCGATTTGTTTCTGGTTTCTTTCTTCCATTCTTTTTTTTTTGTTTCGACTAAGGTGTGAGCTATTGCTGCATCTGCGTAGCGAGTTGCGTGTGTTGGAACGGCAGGCGGGTTGGCTGCAGCGCTACGCGCAGTAGTGATTCCGCGATTAGCTTGTCAGCATTGCCGTCGTTTCTTTTGAAGGCATTCGAACAACTGCAGCCAATCCAGCGTAGCCGTGCGATTCCATTTACGGCCGAGAATTTTCGCGAAAGCGCCGAGCGGCCTGCACAGCGACGGCCGTTGCCAGCGGCCGCATACCCGATCGGCTACGCGAGCTCAGATTCGCTCTCGGCTCATTGACGTCACTGTGACGACACACGCAAAAGAATAACAAATGATGTACAGCGACAGCCGCTGTGCTCTTTAGCGATGCTCTCGTGCGCGTCAAGAAGCAGTTCTCCACTTTGAGCAATTTATTTCATGCGTGGACAATTGAACGGTTAGTGCAATCAGTATAATTCGTGTTTGCCTGTAACATTCTACTTACATTAGTGCTTAAAATCTTGTTACAGCGTCCTGCTTTTAAACAAGCCCCGCGGTGCGATACAAATAATCTCCTTACCTTCTCAGCTGTTTACCAACGGGCAGTCATCTGACGGTAACTTCGTTGTGCTGCTGTATTATAGTTATGTGTCGCTTGTCTTAGCCATTTGCTTTTCGTTTAAAAGTTTTTAGTGCTTACGCGCGTTTATCGAACATATGCTGGTCGGGAAGACAAGCTTGGCTCGACAACAGTCCGAGGTAAGGCAATGTTCCTTTCGTGTATCGCTTTTGTTTCTGGGTGCCCCCAGCTAATGTCGCCGTTGCTCATTTGAACATTGGTGATTATATAGGGGACCCATTCACCCAATATAACGATGTGCAGATAATTGTCGCTAAGCTTTCTACAATTCGAGCATCTGGCGAATGTGAAACCCTTTGCAATAGTGCCCTTTTTGACCTTACGATTGACCATCGAACTTAAGAGCCCCCATTTTCTACGCAATTTAATTACCTCTTTTACCAATGCACCTCGCTATTCATGCTGAGATCTTCAAGCGCAGATTTCCTTGCATTCCACTTTGATCTGCATATTGATGGAGAACGGCGAGCCGTTTGGTTTTGTAGTGGTCGTCTCAAGCTCCGTAGAGCATAACGTCCGTTATCGACTTCATCGCCTCCTGACAGCATTAATCGCTTCCGCGAGATGTTCGGCGGTTCGCTCTGTCGCGGTTCTGTAGTTTTGAAGCAGTTGCGAACGCACTATGTGCATAAATGTCCTGAATATCGCTCCTGCTTGTTGCCACTCGCGCACAACATATAACAAGTGGGTGTGGCTCCTCCGAAACTGCACTGTCCCCGTCTCGTCGTTTTCGGCCGCATTGGATTGTATGTTCACTTATTTTCGCGCTGTTACCTCGTCTATAACGACGGAAGTGATCGTTGCTCACTTCTCTTCTATACCGCTAGCAACCGCTAGTGTTTATGTGCAGACTGCGCCATTGCGTCAGCCTCTCGACTCGCACCGCAGGCATTATGACTGAAAAAAGCCGTTAGAGCGCCTGCCTACTCTATGGGTCGGCCGAAACGCTAGCTGTTTCACCCATTGTTGGTATGCGTATCCACAGCGTCGTCGCCCCTAGCTTCGGGAAGACCCGCCACCTGCGCCAGGCAGTCTGACGCAACGCCATTTCAACCTTGTAGGAATCCTTGGCGATTCGCTGTGGCCGAGCAGCTTTTCGCAGCCGCTCTGTTACTAGCCGTCGTGGGAGCACGTAGTCATCAGCTCGACGTCTTTGTCTTTTCTTTACTTTTTCGTATTGTTAACTACTCCGAATGCCGCGCCGAACGTAAATGTCGGCACACGCAGCTTTATGATAGCAGGCTAGTACGTGTTCACAAGTATAGCGGCCTTTTCTCGCTGTGGGAGCAATATTTCTGGTGTAGCTCCTGAGTAGCCGAAGGCCCATTTGCCCTTACTTTCGCGTGGTTATTACGCATAATTCTTGTTTACTGATATAACTGCAGTAATTTGTGGCGTTGTGGTCCCTGCTTCTTGAGCATTATCTGTCTGCTCAAAATTTTCAGCTCGCCAAGAGGCTGGACAGCACCGCTAATAAAAAAAAAAAAAGAAAAACTAACTAACCAGACTCGTCGAATGAAGCTTGCACTAGATTAATTTTATATGACAAAGATGTCACGCTAATATTTTTAAGCGCAATGCAGCATCCTGAAAGTGTGCATGTACCAAATGAGTGTCCTGATTAGCATTTGTTTTACCAGGACATACTCTTTGTTAAAGTAATGTGTATCAGCTCATTACAAAGGCTTTACAGAGTAATACACTGGTGCAACAGAACAGGACTAGGCTCATGATTCTGCTGTTGTATTGGTCCTAATTGGCCATGGAAGCTAAGCATGTTTCTCCTTTTGTGTGTTGCAGTTTGAAGCAGGTGCGTTTTGCCGCCAGTGCAGCTGCCATGTCGATCCAGGCCGGGCTCACAGCAGACTCTGTCATCGCCCTAGTGCAGCGATATCTCGGGAAGGAGCGGCTTCACTGGCGGCCCAGCACCTATGCTTCACAGGTACGTCTCGAGGTGACCCCGCCACATACACACCTCCACTAGGCAGTCTTTCTGGCTGTGATATGCTCTGGTGGCCCCATATCTTATCTTGAAACTCCAAGAGTGTCTGCGGTTTGCCTTGCTGCTCATCTTATCAGCTTATCACCTTGTTTTTTTCTGTGCCTGTGCTTAAATTGTGACTTGTGTTTCAGGGGGAAGAGATCACGCCTGTTCAACGGAACCACACCGTAAAATGGCTGACTGTCCTCAACCGGTACCTGAAGTTCAATCCTGAGACTCTCTTCCTCTCGGTCACACTCATGGACGAGTTCCTTCGCTTGGTCAGAGTGAGTATGGAACTGCCCACCTTTTTCCCTAGTAAGGAACACACATACAGAAACTCCGGAAAATTGCAACCAAACTAAGTTGATCAAATATTGAATGAGTAGTCGGTAAACAAATGACACAGGACATGAAATAACTGCAAACACACACATCCGTTCATTCTCACACAAACAGTGGATTGAATATTGAATACTAGTTCAAAGCAGCTGTATGCTTGCAAAATGCATGAGTTAAGCTGTGTATTGTTGCTTACCTCTATTTATAAATTTATATTTAGTTCTCGACGCTGTAGTTCACTACGCCATAATGTTCCACCCAGGCAGGCTCTCGCTGTTTCACTGAGGTGTTTATCTGCGACGAGATTTTTTTCTCGCTCCTCTGCTGCCTTTGTCGCGTATCTGCTTGGCTCTCTGACTAAAACTGCTATGTTTCATTCTTTCACAGGCACAACCAAAGTACCTGAAATGTATTGCTATTTCGTGCTTCTACTTAGCGTCCAAGATTATCGAGGAAGACGAGGTAAGTGCCTGAACTAAATGTGGCTGCTTTGTACTCCTTGATAGCTAGGCTACCAATCACTCTGAAGCACTAGGCCGTAAAGTTGACGACAGGGTTTCCTCTGAACTCGCAGGTGGTTCCACATATCAAGGATCTGATCAAGAACTGTGACTGTATCTTTAGTGTGTCTGAGATTACTCGCATGGAGGCATTGATTCTCAAGAAACTCAGATGGGACCTCTGTCGAGCCACATCACTTGACTTCCTGCACGGGGTGAGTCATACACCTATACTCTGGTTCTAATTTGTGTAACCTTGATAAAAAATACTGGGACCTTTAAATGTGGAAGTAACATTTTCTTGGAAAGATGCCATGCCCCAAGAGTTCAGCCTTCTACTTCAGCATGGGAATCGAATGGAAATATGAGACGTAACAAGCAAACTTGAAGCCATTGGTAGACACTAGATTAGACAACAATTCTTCGGTAATGCCACCCTGCATGTTTCATGATTTCTGTAGTAAATTTGTTATGTGCTAATAATGTAGGTATATTGATTTTGACCATTAAGGTCGAATGCTATATGTTTATAAACAAAAGTAGAGTTCTTCGGAACATCTAAACTTACTCTTTGTTCAGTGTTGTGCTTAAAGTACTGTGGCCAAGGTATTGTGAGACATGCCTCAAATCTTTTATAGGCATTCAGGTTATTGCAGTAAAATTTTTACGCTCTTTTACTCAAAGGGTCATACTGCAAAGCATGCATTGAGTGCATTTGTATCTTAAAAGCAGTGAACGAAACTAAGTAGTGCTTACTCAGTAAAGTTGTGCCAAATCAGAGAAAATATTCTTACGTAAAATGAGACGGGACGTGACTATTTGCCAGTGCATAAAATCGGAGTGCAGCACACAGAGCGAGCAAACCAACCCTCTTCGTCGTCTTCTGTCCACAGAATTGTTCACCCTTCATGCGATAGCTACGTAGCATTACCCCCCGGTTGTAAAAGCACCGGCTCGGTGCACTTTATACGTGTTCTTCAGAAGGAGGGCGGTATGGTTTCAACATACTGACGTGGACTACGTCACTGGGGGTGTTTGCAGACAGGTTAGTCCTGGAGACTGGAATGACCTCGTAACGTTCGTTACTCATCGTATGATACGGTAAGGTCCCTTGTACTGAGATAGCAACTTCTCTGACAATCCAACACAACAAACTGGGCACCAGAAAAGAACTAGAGAACCAGGTGAGAAGTCAACGCCATCATGCTTGCTGTCTTAGAGTAGAGAGCCTTCTGGGTTGCTTGTGAAACCAACAGCCTAGAGCGGGCAATCTGACGTGCGTGGTTGGCACAAGTGATAGCATCACGTGCGTGTTCACTCGGTGGAGGTGTAGTAGTCGGTGGTAGGGTGTCCAGTGGTAAGGTCGGATTACTGCCATAGAGCATATAAAAAGGTGAATAACCTGCGGTATCATGACGAGATGAATTATAGGCGAACGTCACGTGAGGTAGCGCTAGATCCCAGTCCTGGTGGTCAGATGAGATATGCATCGAGAGCATGTCCGTGAGGGTGCGATTTAGGCGTTCGGTAAGGCCATTTGTTTTAGAATGGTAGGAAGTGGTCAGTTTGTGTTGCGTTGAGGAAGAGCGCAAAAGCTCATCAAGTTTGCGTGACAAAAATGCGCGTCCACGATCGGTGAGCAATTGCCGAAAAGCGCCATGTTATAGAATTACATCGTGGAGCAAAAAGTCGGCAACGTCAGTAGCAGTGCTGGTGGGGAGCGCTCTAGTGATGGCAAACCTGGTCGCATGATCTATAGCAACAGCCACCCACTTGTTCCCAGAGTTTGATTCAGGGAACGATCTGAGGAGGTCTACACCAACACCAAAGAAAGGTTCGGTAGGGATGGAGATCAGGTGAAGAAGTCCAGCAGGGGGTGCGGCAGGTCGTTTTCGATGTTGGCATTTATCGCAGGAGACCACGTAGCGTCGAACGGACCGTGCGAGACCACCCCAAAAGAAGCGGCGCAGGACGCAATCGTACGTGTGAGATATGCCCAAGTGGCCGGCAGTTGGTTCGTCGTTGAGCTTGGTTTTAGTATTTTTTGTCATCTCCTGTAGTACTTTAAGAACTGTGGGGTTGGCACGTCTGCTCCAGATGAACAACGAGGGACAGCAAAGAAGTATCGCGACGCTTTTCGACACCAACCTGACGAAACCTAGACATGGACATGACGCCGCGGGGCCAGGCTCGCCGACCGATTGATCTGGTTGGTCAACAAAATAGCGGGACAAGCAATCGGCGTCCAGACTTGTAGGCACCTACGTAATGCTATGTAGCTATATTGCGTGCTTTCATAGGGCAGTGTTGCTGAGGCGACTGAACTATACAACCGTAGATGTTCGTTTTCAAGCTTTTGACTTTTCACATGGCAAAAAAATGATCAAAGTACTAGACAGAGTGTAATGGAAGACCGTAAAATAAATTTGACTATCAGGTGTTCTCTAAACATACACTTAGTGATCCTCGCACGAGCACATTTTCCATTCTGGCCTCACAAGAATGTCGCCGCCGTGAGTGAGAATGAATCTGCGGCGTTGCGCTCACGAAAGCGCCGGGTCGTCACATTTTCAGTTTTGTAGTAATTAATTTTATGCTCATATGAGCTAACCGTGGGCTGTCTTTCATTTGGGTGCAGTTCTATGCCCTGCTGGTGTTGAACCGGAGCCTTCTCCTGCCAGACCAGCCTGAGCAGCAGTTGGCAGCTTTGGGTCCGCTGCTGGAAACCAAGCTGCAGGTCTGCCTCGATCAGGCGTCTCTGGTGGCAACAAGGCCCTCTACCTTAGCCCTGGCCCTGCTCAGTCTAGAGCTGGAGACCTGGACTCCCAACTGGTTCGTCATCACTATCGCCCTGCAGCGGCTGGCTCAGGTTTGTGCTAATCACTTCACGCTAACTCTTGTTACTATGTGAAAGCTGATATAATGTGTTGTGCTGGTGTACCATGCACGTGTGATATACGTATTGCATAACATTTCATGTAGGGTAACAACCACTCCTGTGGTTCACTATTTGGTGCTTTCATAAGAAATGAATGAGAATGTTATGTTTATGGTGATGATTTGTCAAAGTTTATGGCATTGAAAACAAATTACCTGTGCATTTTCTTGTATATTACCCAATACAAGGGTGAAGTTCTCCCTCAAGGCATCCTTGTATAACTTTTTCTTTTGCCTCCCATCACATGAGTTGTGTTCAATAAATCAAATAATCACTCGTTTTTATAAGCTGCCAAACCTGCATATGTGTAGCACCTTCAGAGAACTCTTTGTTATCACTTTTTTTCTGAAAGCAGTCACCAATCAGTTTGCCTGTTGTTTTCTTGTGCTATTAGTATAATGACTGAGAATATGCTGTTGAGGGCTCATTATACATTTTGTGAAAGTTAGAATGCTTCTTATCAAAGCTATGAAGGCTTGCTAATCTAGAGAAACAGCCTTAGCTTGTCTCCATCGCCTTAAGATGTGTATAATATTGTGGTCAGCTGGCTGGTACTGCAAAATGTAGGTAACTGAATGTTGCTCTACATTTTATGTCAGTGATGGCAGTAGCTGCATATTATCTCTCTGTGGAGTTTGATTGACCTCTCGTTATTATTTTATATGAAGTCTTGAACGCGAATGGATTTATGGCTTCTTGCGCAGGTTGAGAACAGTGACGTCATTCGGTGCCGAGAAGAGTTGGCCTGCATTTTTGCCAGAGCTCGCACGGCCGTGTCACGAAAACACCGGCACTCAGACTCCCAGAATGCCCACAAGCCGTCAAAGAGAAGGGTACGTACTAATGGGAGTGCTTAAATTCTGATGCATGTTTTTGCTGAAATAGCCATTGCTCTGGCTTAGTAAAGTAGGCCATTGTTGAACTAAGGGGGAGGTGCTTCGTAGTAAAACTATTGCCTTGGCATGTAAAACTCCAAACTTAATATTGAACGCAACATCTTCCTTGTCTTCTCCCACCCTACTTTGTGACAGGGTGGGATTACTTGATCCTTAAATCAGTACAGCCCGACTTCTTTATTAGGTCATGTGATATAAACTATTGTAGTTGCTTGCATACTATCAGCACTGCTTTATGTTGGCAACCTGTGTCTTTTGATTATGTTTGCTGGTTTTTAACAAGCTAGCATTAAAGAGTCCGCACTATAAAAAGCGCAGTAGCAGTGTTGGCACTGTTGTCCATCAGCAAACAAATCTCAAGCAATGCAAAGAACGAAAATTGGAACTGCAGCCTGGATCAAACCTTAGTATTCTCGCATGCCAGACAAGTATTCTACTACAGAGCCATACCAGTGCTTGAAACTGCTGCAGAAGAGCACTCTGCACTGTAGTTCTGCTGAGCAAGGAGTCGCATTTATTGGTGCAATATTGCATAGCATAAGCATAGGATCGTACCAGGTGTCGTGCCATGCAAATTGAGCAACAATTGCGTGGTTGAAAGCTGGCAGCCCATTACAGAGGGCCAAGCTACAATTCATTATTAGCTGCCGAGTCTATGAAGTGCGCAGCTGCTACATGGGTGCGCATATTACCTACATCATCGTAGTGAGTACTTTGCTACTATAATTGTAGTAGGCGCCCCAGGTGTACTTATGGTGGACAATACCATGGCACACATTACTCAGCTCATTTTTGTCCACTAAGAAGCAAGCAAAGACGAGCAAAAAAGGGAAATACAGTTAAACTTCGTTATAACGAAATTGGAGGGCCACCGCTATTTGCTCGTTATAACCAATATTTCGTTATAGCCGTAGCGGGCATTCACCGCAAATATTATGCACTGTACTGGCCCCCCAAAAATAGCGGGCGAAATAGCATCCCGCCGCACGGTGGTATGCAACAAAATAACCGCATTCCCAAATAAAAAGGAAAAAGTCATGCACTTGTTTTAATGCACTTCAAAATACACAGCTTGCATTTGAGGCAGACTTAGCTGCAAAGAAGTCCGTAATTGGACGATGTATCATCTTCCTGATCCGAACGATGGCTTGCTCAGCTGCGGCCGCAATGTTCAAGCCATCTTCAGCGCCCTCATGAGCGCCGAAGTAGCGGCGCAGTACGTCCACCGCGTCTAATGCCTCCGACGCCGTCGGCATGTTTGTCTCCTGTTCGTCGACAGAATCATCGTCACTGGTTTCGTTACGATCAATGACAGCGCGCACAATATCGTCATCCAGGAGCTGCTCCGTTGCCACCACTTTCGAGTCCGCACTCACATAGTCTCAAAACAACTCGCTGTCAGGCACGACACCGGCGTCACGAAGTGCCGTCCATGATGCAGCGACTTCGTCTGATGTGGCGAAACCGTCCGGCACAGTGGGCTCGTCTGTTGGCTCATCGCTGGCGTCTGGTGCGGCGGCAAATGAGGCGTGTCGAAAGCAGTTTGCGATCGTGGTCACCGTCACACTCATCCACGCCGCCTGAAGCATTTCGAGTGCAGCGTACAAGTCAGCATCGGTGTCTCGCTGCATCCTCATGTTGAGCAGGAGCTTGTATATCACACGCTTGCGGTAACCTGCCTTCAGCGACATAATCACGCCTTGGTCAAGCGGCTGTATTTTTGCTGTGCAGTTGACAGAAAGGAACAGCAGCTCGATGTTTTGAAGCACGGCAGCGGTATGGTGGGCGATGCAGTTATCTAGAACAAGGCACACCTTGCAGTTCACCTTTGCCAGCTTCTCGTCCCATTCGCAAAGCCATTTTGAAAAAATCTCCCTGGTCATCCAGGCTTTGCGATTGGCTACGTACTTGACTCGGAGCTGCCTCTTCCCCTTAAAGCAGCGACGGGATGCACTTTTGCCAATTACGAAAATTAGCAGCTTCTCGGAGCCGGTCATGTTTGCATAAAGTAGTGCAGTGATCCGCAGCTTACTTTGTTTGCCTCCATGGCACGGCTCGCCTTTGAGGGCTAACGTCTTGTGCGACAACATCTTGAAAAAGAGAGCGGTTTCGTCCGCGTTAAAAATATCCTCCGCGCTGTATTTTTCTAGCAGACACACGATGTTTTCTTTCGCCCACTTGGTAGCCTCTGCTTCGTCGACAGATTGCGATTCGCCGCAGACCGCTCTCCCGACAATGTGGTGGCGCTCCTTGAAGCGTTGGAGCCAACCCGAACTTGCTACGAAGTTGTCATAGCCCATGATGCAGGCAAAGTCTCTCGCTTTTCTTTGCAGCAAGGCGCCGCTCACCGGCAGATTCACGGCCCGCGTGTCCAAGAACCATTTAAAAATCGCCCTTTCGACCGCTTCAAAGGCAGGTGCCCTCATCCTCTTAGCGCTTCCTTTCACGCCACGCGCAACAGCCTCGATGATGGACTCCTGCTTGCTCAAGATGGTTGACAGTGTGCTCGTCGATATGCCAAAGTCTCTTGCCACGTTGCCTTTCTTGGTCCCCGATTCGACGGCTCTTATCATAGCCTTCTGATCTAGCATTATGCGCTTTCGCTTCCAGCCTGGCGCATTCATGTTGCTGGAATCACGAGTGCGGCACGATAAAAGATAAGGCGGAAGCGGTCGAAAAAGAAAAGAAACACTCGTGCAAAAGCAACGCGGCTCACATCGGCGAGCGACGACACTTGCAGAGAAAGTGACTGTGAAGAGGAAGGGGCAGAAGGGGCGCTCTTTTGCGCTGCCCTCTAGGAACCGGTTACTCAAGGGGAAGGGGGTATGTAAGATTAGGAAGCGCGCCTCAGCGCCAAGGGAAAGGGGAGAGAGAGGGAGAAGACAGAAAAGAAAAGGGCGAGACGTTTGAAGAGCTGCGGAGCGCTCTGCTGTCGGTGGTAGCCAAGAGGCGCACGTGCAGCGACCTCTCCTCCGGAAACAGCGCGTGCCATCTGCTTTGCGCACGTTGCTGGAGGGCGCGTGGCGGGAGTTTTGAACTGCTAAATACAGTTCTCGTGTTGCACGCCGTCTCAAATTCGCGTTGTGCACTGTCGTGACATCGGCTCAAAATTTTACTTCCTAACAAAATTTGTTCGTTATATCCCATAACAGGCAAATTTCGCCTCGTTAAAACGAGGTTTTGAATACATTGGTTTGTATGGGGACTTTCAAGGGGAATTAGGATTTGCCCGTTATATCCATTATTTCGTTATAGCCCGTCTCGTTATAACGAGGTTTAACTGTATGTGAATAGAGTCTGATCACGCTGTTGTGTTAAACTCTTGAAGCTCACTTAAGTAGCGTGAAGTTCTTTTCACGTGCGTACTGTGGTTATTTGTACAGCATTCACGTGCGTACTGTGGTTATTTGTACAGCAGAGCAGTGGATTTGCCATTATTATGCTCCTTATTTTATGGGTGATGGAGTGAAGGGATGGGCTGTAAGAACTTTCTGGATCTGGCCTTTGTGAACCATTTTCATAACCACTGTCCCATTCATTTAGCATTCTGGCTGTTGTCTTGCAACCTTTAGAAGTAACTTTGTTACTTTGACGAGCTTGCACCAATTGCAGCATGAAATCCTTGATATTTGCAATTGTTTCATTACGAAGCCAAGTTGCCAAATTTAATGTATCTAGTCTGTACACTTTCTTAAAAACTCTTTAGTATGCCTTCTGTCTTCGTGACTTATGCTGTTTTGTCCTTGTTGAAATTTATTACACTTGTGGTATGAATGTTTCTATTGCTATACTTATTTATATAATTCAGCTTTTGCTGTGCTTGTAAGACTGCTCCATTGATATTTTGTTTCCTTGCCATTTGCATATGCATATTTTAATGTATGCATTCTTCATTGTGTGTCCCCTTACAGCCTTTAGAATATAGGACCTATTCTGTAAAACATCGCCTTCATTTTATGTATTCCCACCTTGCTAACAATAGACCTGGAGTTCTGAAAAATGGACAGTGCTAAATTGAACAAGCCAAAGAGGACAAATAGAAGCACAGGACAGGAGCTGTATGTCTTCTTTGGCGTGTTAGATTGGGCGCTATTAATTTCTGAAAGTTGGGAATCAACTAGCTCAGCAATGCAATTTTTTTTTAACCTTAGGCTTGCTTACGCCCCATGCGTTGCCTTTTTTCATGTGCAGATGGAGACGACGGACATCGAAGACATCTACGACAGCATCAAAAGGCTGTACGGTGAGGAAATGGCATCTACAACGTCGCCGCCTCCTGCCAGCGTCTCTTGTGGCATGCACCAGGGCCAAGGTGGCATCAGCATGCCTGGATTTCCAGTCCGCGCCATGTAGAAAAAAAAAAAAAAAGGAACTGCCCCAGTGAATAGCCTCATGGAAGGACTCATACCAGAGACCAAGCAACGGAAGCCAGGCCTGGTGCCAGCCCAAGGCATTTTTTTCCCGCCCACATCACTAGTCCATTCTTTGTCTTATTTGCTTTTATTAGGGCAGGGCCAGTTCAATTGCAACAAAAGGCACCCCCCCCCCCCCCTCTGAATATTTCAGTGCTGTAATTGTAGCAGGATTATGGTCTAGTCGCATGCCACACAAAAAAAAATATTACCACAGCTTACTTTTTCTCTTGAGGTTTAGCAGCTGTGCAATGGCACTTCACCCATGCAACCACAATCTTGGAACACTTTTGTGAGACTGCATAATATCTCACAGGCGGCTGCTTCCTGGTTTTGCTGGTGTGCTTTATTATTCTTTTTGTTGGAATTATACATTTTGTTATACATACACACCCACGCAATTGGTTGCCACTGCATTGTTTTTAGTTTGAGCATTGTCACCATTGTGCATGCTACGTGTTTGGTCAATGCTGCATCGTCAGAGGCCTAGAGAATGCCCATTTTTAGGAAGGGTGCTAGATCCTTCTTTTAGTTTACGAAAAGCAAGTGTACCTTTACGCGGAACAAATGTATGTTCTTGTCCACGTTTTCCTGTGCTTTGTGCGAGTGTGTGCAGAGACGTTTTGAAAAAGCTATTTTACACGAGGGCCATGTGAGGCCTTATATCTTTCTCTCCCCAGCCCGTGCAGTGGGCCGGTAGTGATTTGAGGAAGGTCACCAAAAACGTTGCATTTCAGAATAATTACGCAAGTTGACGAGTGGTTGTTTGATACATGTCGTACATTGTAGTACAGCTACACTTTACAATACATGTCTCACTTAAATGGAATGTTTCATTAGCATTGTAGCACTAGTTATAGCTTGTATTATAAATGGATAACTTGCAGGCTCAATTGCTTGGCTTGTTGCATTGGCCATTCTTATCTGAGAAAAGCAGCCGAGTAAATATAATAATGTTTTTGAATTTTGTCTTCACGAATAATGGTGAGATGTTTTCCGAAAGTGTGACACATAGCACGTCTGGAAATTTGCAGCAATAAGTGCATTGAACAGCACCTTCACTTGCTGTGTCGTATGTGTTCGCGGAGTATCTGTTGATGTTCTTCAAGTCCACTTGTCTGGGCAAGTGCTACTTTAATTTCTCCCAGATGTAATCCACTGAAAACACTTCATTCCAGTGCATGAGTGGCATGTTGTCTGTCAGCCATCCCTTTTTTACAAGCTTCTTTCTGCGAGCACCGAATTTTAAGCCTACGGGCGTCGTGGAATTTCTGGGGAGAGCTCATGTCTCGGAAAGTGTCCATTGTTTTGTCTCATGTTCGTGTCTTTCTGTTTTATATATTGTAGATTTTATGTTCTACAAGAAGAGTACATTGTAAAAAAAATGTATAATATGTAAAAAATGTAAAAAAAACTCATAATCCTTAAAAAACCAAAAAAACATTGTAAATGATCCTCATTTCATCACCCATTTTATCATTTTTAAGAGAGTGCAAGGCGCATAGTTTTTTATGTTTCTTTTAATGCTCCCAACATGCCTGTGTTGTCCCTGTGAGAAAGGAATTGCTGCCCAGTGTTCTGGCAACCCACTTCTTTGGAGGCATTAAAAACGAGTAATTTATGAAACGTACTGGACATTTTTTATTTTATTGCTAAGGTTGCTGTGCCTCCTACAGCAACTGTTGTAAGCCTGCTGTATGCGCAATGTCACTACTGGTGTGTCTCACAGTATTGGACAGATCTTGCGCATAGCATATCTCGTTTTGATGGTGAAGGAATCGAAGGCCCGTATTCACAAGCCAACCTCATCCTTGCCTCAAGTTTTCCTTATCGATTTTACGCCTTTATTGCACTTAATGAACAAAGTAGGCTAGTATTCATGAACCAACCTTGATATCTTTTACCCTGTTACCATTTTCGTGGCCTTATAATGCATGTAGAGAGGACAGAAACTTGAAATGGAAGGCAAGACCAAGGCTGGTTTCTAAATACGGGCCTAACACTGCCAAATGGTGAGTCGAGGATCTTTCGTTAGGCAAATGTGCGTGGGAAACCGACTTTAAGCAAATATATTGTGGCAACCACTGTAGTCACTTGCCAAAATCTGATGCTAAATCAAGAGTTTGACGAAAACTCATTTGGTTGGGAATATTGATGGTCAAAAGGTAAAAGGAAGGTGCCAACCAAGAAAACTCTAAAGGATTTTCGGTAGAGGTCTTCCTTTTACCTTTTCATCAAGCTCTATGTGTGTTGATACTTTTACATAATCAGTTAATGCCAGAACAATTGCCAAAATTTGCTTAGTCGTGCCCAATAGATGTTGCAGCATGTCAGTGCTCAAAATGATGTCGATGGTGCAAAGTGGCACCATCGTAATTTGCACCATCGTAATAGGAAAAATTGGTGAAGTAAGCATTGTTACAGATGTCCGCTATATTCATTTAAAGGTCGAGTCGCAGTTGAGGCTTCAGGACCCTTCAACTATGTCGCGACATTGCAACTCTCGAATATTAATGACTGTCTGGTTTAACAATAAGGTCTAACACCTTATCTCATGCTTGAAGAAGAACTGCAGCAAGCAGTCGCTGTAGTGAACAGCTCATCCAAATCTTGTAGTGCATGGTTAGTAGGTTTAACAAGCAGTGTGAAAGAAGGAAGGAAGAAAAATAACTTTATTTTGCTCCTGCGAAACATGACTGGAAGCAGTGTGAAGCTGTCACTTTAAGTTCCCCTCTCTTCATACAGACGCCCGTCCTCGCTCTTTTTGGAGGGCCTTTAGCAGCTTTTTTTCAATCATAGAGCAGATCGCTGCTGTTGTCTGACAGCTGAAGTAAATGAAGTAGTTTATATCAGACGCAGTTCTTGCCACAGGGTGCTGCTATGTGCTGGGCGCGGTGCCCTAGTGAGCTAAAATTATACATACAGTTGCAATGCTAGCAGGCATGAGAGCCTCCCCAGGAATGGATGTTTCAAGACGCGTGCTTATTTTACACGTGTCATACGCCCATGCGTAGCCTCCAGCACGCTAATTGGGGCGAAAAAAGAGTAATGCGCTCGACGCATCTGACAAATCCCTGCAACTTCCCTGGCACTTGACTTATTTGAAAAGTTTCAGTGGCAATCAGTTTTCGAGGCTATAAGCTCCACTACCAAAGTCAATCGATGCTTATTTGAAAATGTGTTTTAGCACTTTTTTAGGTGTCGAATGTTGGCTTGTTACAGGGTTTTTGGCTGTAAGAACAAAACGAAGATGCATGCTGAAGAGTCTTGCCAGTGGCTGCTAATGCCCCGAGTTGCAGACCAGTTCGAGCAAATGTAGTTTTTGTGCAGGATGGCTCAAAGAAAGGAGACTTCTTATGCAATCTCTGCAGCCATAGGGGCAGATCTGAATAAAATTTTGTTATAACTGTAAAATTTGGGTTGCCTTATATAGGAGTTCAGCATAGGCATAACCTTCCGTGCTAGCCTGGTGCAAGCATCACGTCTCCAGAAACGCCAATGTTGCTTGAATTGATATTGTTGTGACCGGGGCCTGCAGGCATCAGAGGTTTGGGATGAAGTTGTCGAGGCAGGAGGAAGAGAGACTTGAAGAGGGTTTATTTAGATTATGTACATGGTGAGTTCTCTTAGATGACGAGCTCTTTCTTACATGGCGAGCTCTTAAATCTGGCATTCCTCTACATGGCACTCCTTCAAATGAGCCGGGTGGCTCATTATAAAGGGTATGTTCTCCCCAGATCCCTAGATCAGAAAACACGTGCAGATGGTACTGTTCAATCACAGATCACACACAACTGGCGAGGGGGACGAGCATGCACGGCCCACGTGAACGTCCAATATTGAGGCGTGATCATTGCACTGCAAAGTGGCGCCAGCGGGGCTCTTCCTCATCGTGTGTGTGCCACTAGTCCTAAGCTCATGATAGCATACATGAAAAGGTCCACCAAACTTTTGCTTAATTAGCGGGATGAATTGCGGCGGCCGCCGCAGTCTCTTCCAAGGAAGATGCTGTATTTGTTCTCCTCTCTCGAACGGCTTGCGACGTTGTGGCGACACGACGTTTCACCTTCCGGCTAGGAGGGACAATACCTGGCAGGCATAGGCAGCCAACTGGTCAGCTAGTTTTGAGGGTTAAAAGAGCACCGCTCCCTTGTCAGCTCTGGTGCCAGTCACAACAGTCTGCAACTTGGGGGATTATTAGCCACTAGTAATACATCTAATTTTCAAATTACACTTTTGTTTTTCTTTTGCTAATAGTAAAAAACTCAATAACGAACCAACATTTGAAACTTGAGGAACGTTTGGACCACTTTCTCGAATAGTGTAAAATGCTGAGCAAACGCCCTCCTAACATTTCGGAAGATTTGAAATAAGCACCAAATAAGCTTCAATGAGTGGTCCGAGACCGAGCAAGTGCCCCTTTCCTAAATCTAGTTGGATGATTTATTACTGTATGGGGGAGGGGCAGGGGCACTTGACTTCCTCATTTTTGTGTGGTTATCATTGACTGACCTCAGTGCTGGTGTTTATTGCCTCGCTAATTAAGTGTTGCAAAAGTTTTTCAAATACATGCAAATCATCAAAGCTACAGGGATTTGTCGCTTGCCTTGAGTGCTCCCATTCTTTTTCTTTTTTACTGATTGGCGTCGCCTTGTCATAGGGTTACTTATAAAATTATCAAGCAATGGAAACCTGGCTATGACAGTCGAACCTTGCACCTCCCGCAGCAAAGCCATGCATCCTACACACCTGCAATGACTGGGACCAATCTATGTTCACTTCAAGTTCGGGACATACCTGGCCTAAAGGGCAGTTTTACCACAGAAGACAACCACGTACCAAATTAAATCTCATTTCTTCAGTGCTTCACATCAACGCTAACATTTACTACAAGTTATTCTGTTTAATACAAATGATTGTGAAGGCAAGTTGGCAAAGATTGGTAATTATGAAATGGCGCATTGAAAGAACACGCAACTCTTACAATGAAAACTTGTCTTCATGTCTTTTTCATCACCAGTGTATCGTGTCCTATTAATGCACCGTTTCATAATCAAGAATGCTGCTTAAAACACTGCAAGTCGATGCATACATCTATACCATTTCCTCTAGACGTTGCTGTTATACTTATTTGTCCCCGTCTGCATTATTTGTAACATCGCTGTTTTCTTTCCTACTATTTTCATTTCCTTAATATTGACACTCCCCAAAGGAGAAAGTGGGCAATGTGCTTCTAGGTGTCAATTCTCAGCATGCTCCTCCTCTATTTCCTCAGTGTTGTGTTTTTTGTATATATGAATCAACTAATAATAATAATAATACAGAGCATCCCTTAAAAGAGTTGGACATAGAATATTGTAATTCTTCAGGATATGATACAAGCTGTAACACCACGTGAATTGCTCCCTCCTTGAAAGAAACAAAATACTAAAGCTAACTGAAGTGCCGTCACCATACGTGAGATGGTGAGAAATAGTACCACTTTATGCTCTGCAGTGTAGCTCATTTTCAAATGCGTTGCTGTTATTGCACGTAAGCTTAAGCTCAAGGGAGCAGATTCTGTTCCTCACCACAGTGGCCACATCTCGATAGTGGCAGAATGCAATAACACGCATGGTATTCAATTTAGCTGCATAAAGGGGCCGTGCAGCCCTCTTCCAAGTGATCATTGAGTGGATTTATTCAAGGAGTCTGCTTTACAAATTGACCGGCATAATAATTTTTTTAAAACCCATCAAGTACATGCAGAGTTACAGGCATTTGTCACATGCTTTAAGTGCTTTCTCTCTCTTTTCATTGCACTGAACATGCTGAAAGCTGCGCACAGAGAGGAAGGAAGAGGTCAAGGATGCAAGAAGCATGCGTCATGACCTCTAGTACTTCCTTTTTTTTTTTCCAAATGAATGGCGTACCTTTGGTGTGATTGCAAGCAAACATGCAGGCACGTCGCGCCATCTTGCAGCGACCACGGCAACTAAGTAGCTCTCGGTGTTCAAATCAGCCAATGGCCATGGACTTGTGTTTATGGTGTGGGCATTCGGTTTCATGGTATCATTTTAAAGCGGTGGAGTAACATTGTGAACACGCACCCACAAAAGTGATGACACAGACACACAAGCACTGCTCATGTTCGTGTCATTACCAGTGATGTTCCGTGCAGGGAATTTTTTTTGGGGGGGATTTTTCGCCTGACATTTTGAGCCAAAGGAATCTTCGTAATATCGCAGGGAATTTCAGCAATGGTCGAATTCTCCTATGAAGACCGATAAATAGCGGTCACAGTGTGCCTTCATCTGCTGTAATCGGTTCTGACACATGCATCATGCAAGCATAGCTTTCGAGATTTGTTTCTGACATTTACGTGGAGCGATTTCTAGTTCACTAGAGGTGTTAGACTTGAAACCCACAATGTACAGTGTACTAACAGTATCGTATGAATTAACAAAGTCATGCTTTTGTTGTGCGGCAGTGGAGCGGCTAATCATCATTTCACGAGTCACCAGTGCGCGAGACGCGTGTAATTATAGTATGTGCGTGTGTGGGTGGGGGCGGAAATGAGTATTTCGCCGATAATTTCGTCAACGTTTGCCGGGAAAATTCCCGGAAATAGTGAATTTTTATGTCTAAGAATGGGAACTCTACGGCGTAAAACGGAACATCACTGGTCATCACTCTCGCAGGTGTGTGTTCGCACTGCTACTTCCTGGCTCTACAGGGAACCAACTCGCTTAGAAAGTTTTATGGCATCATCTATTGATAGACGAGGGAGCAACGTCTTGCTGGCTTTAAGAATTAACTGTAAATGCCAGGCCACACACTGTACTATAATGGCAAACAATTTAAACTCCAGCCAAAAAGCATGTAAAGATGCATTTGGCTCACATGTTCTCAGGAGCTTTGACTACCAAGTGGCAATGTTTTGACCATGGGAAAAAAATTGGTGTAGAGCTCCTTTAAAAAATCCCAGATGGTCGAAGTTATTCTAGAGTCATCCACTACGGTGCGCTCCAGATTCATGCTATTTTAGAGTGGAAAACCTTCAAATTGAATTACACACTTAGAAAAACAAGTTTCTAAAAACATTAAAATTTATATATAAACTTGCACATGGTCATCTGTCGCCTATTTTATGTCCACCCAATTATTTCTAATTTATGCTGTTTTGCACAAAATGGTTCCATTTTATGCCAGCCAATTTCATTCACCTAAATCAATTGCTAATGGATGGATTGCACCACTGACATCACTAAAACCACCATGTTGAAGCACCAGTGCACGGGAACATGACACTTGCAATGTAACAATAATATGATCAAAACATCACATGCAAAATCTTTCCTTATTCATGCACTGGGGCATTCCTGCCACATAGTTATGACATTGAGGCAGATTAACCGCAACTTGTTTGTCCATAGAGTAACATAGTAAACTATGGTGCTCTACGGTTTGTCATCAAAGCTGCCACCATGTAGTGCCACTATGTTCAGAAAACTGCATCCATGACATTGCATGCAAGCTAACTATAAGAGGATAATAATGCCAACAAACTCACAGAATTGATGAGAGTTGCTACCCCACACTCACCTTTACATGTAGGATGTGATCTGTACAGGCATAATGCGCTGAAGCTTTGTGCAACTGATGTGAAATACGCAGCACTCTAAACAGAGAGGCAGAATTGGAGGGACAAGATGTAAGATTCATCATGACATTTTTAAAACTTTCATGAGGCAAGGGTTGTGCCTAGACTAAGTAACACAAGCATTACCAAGTCCAGGCAAAAATCAGCTCAGCCCATGGTGCTTTGATTGTTTTTTTTTTTTTGCTTGTTTCTAGTCTTCTAATGGTATGTATGAGCGACACTAGCAAGATAATTGTAATAACTATGGCACTTACTTGCCGATACAAGTGCGATATATGTGCATTTTTTCCTGTTATGCTCACCATGAAATGCACATTCTGGTATGCAGCAGGCCATAATTGCACTTCCCTACTACTGACTTCTGATTTGCAAAGAGAAATTAAGCACAAAGGCCATCTTGCTCAGACTGCTATGAATAATAATAAAAAAAAATTTTAAAGTTAGAGGCCGCTTGAGCTTCACCTTCAGGAGTAGGTCGCGATAGCTTAGTCGGGCTTCGTGCACCATCACAGTATCAACTACTAACCTGCCTCGGTTTTCAGTGCGTGCTTCAAAAAGTGCTATAATAAAACAAAGCCCCATGTACTATATCAGAGCATGCTAAAGAATTATAGATGGTTGACATTATCCGAAACTATTTGGGGTCGCCCACTACGCATCTCTTGCAGCCCGAGGTGCTTTGGGAGATTCAATTCTATTAATGAGCCAACCAGCAACATTATAATGTAATAGTGAGGACCAACAAAACCTGCTTGAATAAAATAAATATTAATGGGATGAATATAATTTCATAGACGCATGGTATTTAAGACTTTGCAAAATAGGGGCATAGCTGCATTACCAGATTGACTGCATAGAGATTATTTAAGTTTATGTTGTGATGACAAAAAGTCGGCAATGCTGCAGGAAAACTTCAACACTTATGAATCTACATCACAAAAGTACATAAACAGAAGTAGTGACTGTGTTGATTAGTTTAATGAGGGCAGACCATAACATGGAAAAACATGACAGATTTGCAGCAACTTTCTTCCCCTTGCACACTTTTTAGGCAGTCCTAAAGAGTAACAAAAACAAAAGAAATGAAAAGCCAATAACAAGCAGGGTTTCCTCGTTCACTCTTTCACTTCTCCATTGACTTCCATTGGTTCTGCAGTTGCACTGCACTTCTTGCTCATGGCCACAATTCTTTGTCGAAGATTGTTTATAACATCTTGCAAAGCTTCAATGTTTCTGTTCTGGTTTTCGATTTCCACCTTGGCTTTAGCCAGTTGCTTCGTCAGCTCCTCGTTTTTGATGCGCTGTTCGTCAAGCTGTGTGCAGAGCTCCACGACAGTTCCAGCCGAGGGTCCGCCTGGCGCAGATTTGGGCGCGGCCGCTGGTGTGGCGCTTTCGTCCAAAGCAGTGGTTTTTATGGCCTGAGACCTGTAGGCTGTGGGCGGCTCCGCAGATTCACCGTCACTACATTCTTCGTACTCTTCCTCATCTAGACCCAGGGCATCATCGGACTCGTCGCCAAGGTCGCCATCGTCGCTGATTCGTTCCGTCTCCGCACTTTCATCCAGGTTCGATTCAAGTCGGGCCGCCTTCATCGGGGGTTCTTCGCCGAGGTTGTTGTCGAAGTCCCCGGAGCGCAGCTTCTCTGGAAGTCTCTTCATGCGTGATGGTCGGCTCTCCGGATCGGAAGACGTGATGCGGACGATGATTGGCCGTTTACCGTCCGCTTCCTTTGCTTCGACACTCATTCGCTGGCCAACGGTCGTCAACTGCGCCGGCGAAGCCACAACTTGGCGGAGTTGTTCCTCGTCTAGGCGGGAAAGATGAAACTTGGCGACCTTAACGGGCTCACTGTTCAAGAGATTGCCTTCATAGTCAAATGCCCTCCCTTCCACAACGGCTGGTACGAATACTACTTCTTCCCTCTCTGGCGAAGGTGAAACAACCCTTGATGAAGAAGCATCGCTTTCTCTTGCACATCGCGTGCCCTTCTGCAGATGTTCAGGGATCTCGACGACAGTAGGCACAGCTCCAGTGTTGAGGTACACTCGTCCGTTGAAGTGACGAAAACAGTTCGGCTCAAAATGTATCGAGCACAACTTGCTGTTCACGGTGGGCTTCCAAAGGCCTTTGCCCCTTGCTTTAGACACAAATTCGATCCATTTCTTGAGACACTCCTCGTCTTTCGCTGGGAACCTTCACAGACAGAAACAAAGCCGTAAGCCTCCGTTCAATGGGCTTTACTGCCACTGTTTGCTACTTTCATCAATCTACGCATCACGATAGCCGGTTGGGGGCTGGACCTATTTACCCACATTCCCTTGGGATGTGCGGAATGGGAACTTCGAACAGTTTGGAACGCGTCATAGGATGTTAATTTAGGTCCTTACGATAAGGAATTTACATTCAACGTACCCCTCGCGTATATCATCAAATTCTACAGTCAACTATTTAATTGAGATGATGAATACCACCTCTGAGCTGAGGAGAGGTCGACAGGTCTAGCGAGTCTAGTACCTCTACTACACGTCACGACAACCTATCCTTATAGACGAATACTAGCAGAACACTCACTTGTGAAAGGTCGTTTTGCTGCCATTATTGGATCGGTTTTTGCACGCCGAACAATTAGCGGGCATCTCTAGGCAGGCTTTGCAAAGCGCTTCTCCACATTCGTTCGTTGTTGCCACAACGCCATTGACGACGCCAGAGAAAGAAAAAGTGTGCGCGAGCTTAGAGGGCGCCACTAAACATTCGCCACATATTCAAAAGATATAAAAAAACGAAGCACAAGAAAATGATGTTCTGTGCAAGCATATCGAGTGTTTGAGCTCTGCACACGATATCTAGGAAAATATGTATGTACTCACGCTAACTGCTAGCGAATCACTGATTTAATTCAATGTTCAGTCACGAGTACCACGCTTTGAGGACGAAGTAAAAGCTGGTAGGCAAGCGCCAGGTACGTGCTCAAATTGCGCGCCTTTGCATTTCGCACAGCTGATAGCGCAGCAATGACAGAATCTGCTGATTCGAAGAAACAGCTTCTGTCTTTATCCCAAACACCGTCAAATTTCAACGACGATGCGTTTCAAGTAAGACTTCTTTCCTGTGCAGCACGATGAATGTGCATGCAGCAATTTTTTATAGGTTGGCTCTCTAGCAAAGTTACAACGTATATGGGTATTGTTTGGTAATCGTTTTTCTGTTTTTTTTTTTCACATTTCGCGCTTACAGCGGGAGCTCCTGCAACTTCGAGCCAGCAGGATTCACACATATCCCACGACCATCTTCGCCAGAGGTGGCCTCACTCCGACTGTGCCCTCGCGTAATAGCATAACTATTACGGGCCGGAATGTGTCCCGAGCTTCGCTGTTTGAAGCTTCGCCCTTCGACTCGGACGACGTCAGAGTCATGCAGACAATGTCGCCTGAGCATATGGAGCCAGCTGCGAGGACTCCGGAACCGCGGCCGCCGTCTTGCGAGAAGGTTGACGCCAAGACTCCGGAGTTCTAAGACATCCTATCGTCATGCAACCTGAGCGGCGCAACCACTAGACTAATTTGAAGTTGCCTAAAAAAAAATCACAAACTGCGCAGCGTGGGTCGTCCTCCGACAACAAAATAAAACACACTCCATTCAGCAATGTTGCGCTGTCATCTTCATATTTGATCGGAGTTTTTCATTGTACCTGTTGATTGATTGATTTGTGGGGTTTAACGTCCCAAAACCACTGTATAATTATGAGAGACGCCGTAGTGGAGGGCTCCGGAAATTTCGACCACCTGGGGTTCTTTAACGTGCACCCAAATCTGAGTACACGGGCCTACAACATTTCCGCCTCCATCGGAAATGCAGCCGCCACAGCCGGGATTTGATCCCAAGACCTGCGGGTCAGCAGCTGAGTACCTTAGCCACTAGACCACCGTGGCGGGGCTTCATTGTACCTGTTAAAGGATCGTTTTAGTACCATACTTCAGCATGGGTTTCTTTAGTATTTTTGCCGTAATAGTAGCTAAAACGAATGTCGAAGTCATGTCAAAAGCTGCACATGACCGAGAACACAAACAGGAGTCATATATACTAGGGAGGTCAGTGACAGCAATACTAGTTTTGGTAACGTAAACCAAAAGTGTGAGAGCTTGGGCTAGTTGGTATGACATGACGATGGTTATAGCGCGAGAACAGAACGACGACAAAAAGACAAAGTCGTGATGATGATGATCCCAATGCCATGGGTCGTGTCCACTCAGGAGGATCGGCCAGGAATCGATGACTTAATTCAAAAAAAAATTTTTTAATCGAAACCACCCGCCAGAAAAAAGAAAAAAAAAAGAAAAGACACCCCTCTTTGTCGTCCTGTTCTCGCGCTAAAACTATCGTCATGCAAACCGAAATTCGCGCTCTTCTTAGTCTGTGTGTGTGTGCGTGCGTGTATCTGGCGGCTACTGGGCGTGAATAAGGTCCCCAAATGGAAAAAAAAAAAACGTGGTAACGGCTGCCGATTCCGATAAAAAAAAAATCCTCCGCATGTCTGTAAATACGGATCACGCGAAATGAATAAAATCTCGCTGTAAAATTGTCTTTTGTTTTATTTCTCTGCAGGCCAGCCTCGGTGCCATCGAGTTGGACATGAGAGTGATGAGAGGGCGTTCACATCCGACGCTGGTCTCGAATTTTCTGCGCTGCACGTGAGGCGTGAGGTACGCTCGCTTGTGTTCGGTTTTTGACTGCTGCTTCTGTATTTTAACCTTGCCCAGTTCACCGGTGATTACGTTAACAGATGCCGTGACTGTGTAAATGTGTACCTAACCCCCAACAGATCTTAGCGGCGTGTTTTTTTTTTTTTTCTGGTCGCGTCGTGGGCGCCTTACGACGAGCGCAGGTCTCGGTGCGCAAACAGCCTTGTTTACGTTGCGAGGTGGTATTAATAGGCAGGTAAAGGCTTTGTCGACACTGTCTCGTACGTGTTTGTAGAAACATCGCGCGCACGTTTTCATCGACTGAAGGCTCGGTAGGCGCTGTTATTTGTTTCAGTAATGTCGAAGCAAATAGCTTTCCAGGCAAATTACCAGCGGCTTATCCTGCCATGACACTGCGCGTTAGTTACCTGGACGCTCAACGCTTCTCTCTGGTGTTTCCGAAATAAGCAAATAAATAAAGAAAGAAAGCGGAAGTATTTATTTTTCTGCTTATACTACTAGCCACACGTTCCGTCTCAGTAAAGCTTGGCCGACGGATTGGCCATGCAAACGTTTTGCGAAGAACGTGCGATGCAACGCTAGTGCGCGTTTTTTGTAGATCAAGGGAGTGCGATGTCTCCGGGCGTTTCTACATATATGCCGTCTGGTAGCGATACCGGATTGTCCGATCTGCATTATTGGCAATACATTCACTGTTATTGAGTTACCGACGGCGGCATCAAGTCTATTAGTTATCTTCCAATGCTATCGGCTAAAACACGTGCGCAGATGCCATTAAAAATTTGCAGAAAGTCGCCTTTCTTCTTGCACAGTACGGCTTGTTGCCTATTGCGTCTGGTTGCAAATGGGGTGTGGGCGACGTGCTATTAAATGTGGACTTTCTTTTTAGTGCTGGGCGCTCATTGAGGTGTGCAAAGATGTCGTACCTTGGAAGGGAGCAGCTGCGTCAGCTGGAAGCCTTTGTGGATTTCTGCAAAATGAAGCCCGAGATCTTGCACAAGCCAGAGCTGAGCTTCTTCAAGCAGTACCTGGAAAGGTAATGCCAACTAATCGACTTACCTCTGGTATCCATGTCCTGTGATTTGAAACAGCCATATTTTCATAACACTTACATTCTCTTCAGAATGTTTGAATCCACAATGGAAATGCTGTTAAGGGTGCTAACTCGCCGACGCTTGGTTGCGTCAAGTACACTACTTGAGGGTTCATGTGCATTGCAAATGAGTGCTCGTAAGGTGTGTTTTCTGTTAATCAAGGACCCCCCCCCCCCCAGCCATGCAGATGATTGTGCTCTGTTGAACAGACTACGCAAACGGTGGGTACTTTGATGAAGCCTGTGAGCTAAGGATGTGCTGTTTGGCCTGCATCGATTCAACGAAGAGCATTATTTCATGTCTCATTCTCCAAACTATCAAACGTACACCCGCATAGTTCATTAAAAAGGCGATTTGCTAAAGTAAACATGTCGTGCAAGCTAATTCTTTCTATTTTTTGTCATGCTTGCAGCCTCGGGGCTAAGATTTCACCTGCTCCTCGTTCACCGAGTCCACCACCAAAGACCAAGCAGACGGTTAGTCTCTGTTGGTTATGCTCCTATGTGCCTGTGCATCAAAAAAGATTTTAAAAAATGCAGTGCTGAATGATGATGTGGATTATGTTTCCAGCCATCCGAGCCCCCGTTCTAGAAAACCTACACGCAGCAAAATGACTGTGTACTTGTATTGAAAAGCCCAGCGGGGTTAAAGCTGCCAAAAACGGTAAAATATGGCATCCCTCGTGCTTTACAATGCACCTCTGGAATGTAAAACCTGGTATAAGTAGTTTTTATTTTGCTGTAACCGTGAAATTCACGCAACGAAAATCTTTGCTAACATTTGCTTGGTCCCATAGCCTAGCTGGCTAGTAGAGGGACCAATCTGCCCTTTCCATTTTCCCGTGCTGGCCTCTGCCGCATTGGTGGGCACTGGGAAAACGCATTGCTAAAGCATAGGCTTCTGAGACCAGGAGGTGTTCCGCGACATTTTCACCAGGGAAGGGCACATGCACCGGGACATCAAGATAAAAGTGTATTGTGTGACACGCCAACATACGTGCAAAAGAACACTTAACAATGACAAATGACAAGAAGTTGGATATAGATACTTAAAAAAACATGATTCAATTATGCAGAGAGTAACAGCAGGCAAACTGCACATTAAGTGCTTCATGGCAGTAGAAAAATTATTTACAGCCGGTATGGCACTCCAAATGAGAGCGCCTTAAAATTCTGTGAGCCTATGGCGGTAGGTATTTCTGGCAACTGTTAAATTAAGCCAGTTGTTTTCTGCAGCTCATGTTCAGTGCATGGGTAACATAGTGGGTCATTATGTTTTATTATTCTATACACTATATCAGCAACACTGGACACATTTTGTTTCTTCTCCCGTTAACATCATGTATAAGAGCCCCCCCGAGGGTTTCCAACTTTGGGGCTCTTTGTGTGTATTACCAATCCTGTACGCATTTTTCTGAAAAAACTGACGTTGTTTAATGAAACTTGAAACATGAACCGAGTCACGCGGTAGTATATGCACAAGTTGAAACAGTTGTTTTGCTTTATCTGTGCTGTTTGAGGATGTGATAATTTTAATTGCCCTCTTTTGTAAGCAGCTAATACATTTCATGTGGGTTTTATATGTACAGTCACACAAATCTCTATCGTGTTCAACAGTGACCTTTCTGTGTGTCAACGCCACATGATAAAACGAAGTTTCAAAAAATTGTGTGGGCATGGGGTAAGAGGGCATTCACCGGCCCTCATCCTTCTTCAAACATAATTCAGTCTTACAGTGATGATAGACAGAAAATATGGCCACTCACAATTGATAGTTACAGGTTTGGGTGACTGGATTCCATAGCTATGCAGTAGCTCAAGTGTCTCTACACGAATGGGAAACACAGGATGTGTGGAATCATTGCACTGAAAAATTCACGGGTTTTCAGTTGCTTGTGACACCCATATGCCAGTTTCGAGCACGTCTTTTTTATATGCAATTTCTAATTCACATTAGGGTCAAGCATGACCCCTATGTACTTAAACAAGGCTACTCACCATTGCATAGCAGTATCTGGAACCAAGTCGAACCTTGCAAAATCAAGCTGCTTCTTCCTAGAGTTAAAGAACATGTATTTAGTTCTATATGGGTTTATATTTAGGTGGTTTCGTTTATACCATAAATGTACTCTTGGTAAAACTCTCTGTTAATTTTACCTTTGTTGTGTGGGACACGAGCGCAGCTCATCGCACAAAGCGAGTAGAGCGTCCTTGAAGGACAAGCAACAACTAACTTTATTCCTGGGATTGTGCAGCCACTGTGGCTCGGTCGTGCATCCTCATACTGCTTCTCTTTCTCGCACACAATGCGATAAGATTTCATCGAAAGGTGGGAAAGGGTTTCTGGCTGCTGCTATGCGACCATGAGTCCACCACACCTTCAATATCGCTTCAGCTGTCGCCAATAAAGATTAGTGCCATATCGTCGGCTTACATTAAAGTTTCTAAGTATAGTAGAATGGAGGGGAAATCATCAACATACAGTGAAAAGAGAGTGGGTCCAATAACTGAGCCTTGTTGTACCCCAGAGACTATTGATTGAGTAGAGGACATGACCCTATCCATCAATACCCATTGCTATCGCTCGGATATGTAGCAATTAAAGCTGGTGAATTTTGCCTCGAAAGCCATAGTCATGAACCTTACTTAATGTGATGTTGTGGTTGACAGAATCGAAATATTTACTCGGATATCCAGGAAAAGTATGGCAGAAATATTGCTGTTGTTTGAGGCATTGTTAACTTATTTGGCCATTACCAAAACTTATTTTCAAATCAGATGCAGCTTCGTTACAATGAGTTCTGAGTTCAATTTAACACAGATATTGGTCTGTAACTTGAAGGCTCTTGAACGGTCACCATATTTGTATTCAGGGACGATTTTACCCAACTTGAACTCATTTGATCACAGTACTGCATGTGTTGAAACATGCACAGCAAATGCTCTGCCAGAATGCCTCAAGTTATTTTTTTTATTTAACTGTAGTAGTATCGAGCCCTCCCATGTTATTGACATCCAGCTTTTTTACTATTGACACTATATGGGCCATTTAATGGCACGATATGAGGCATGTAACATTTGAATTGATTTAAGTAATGCACATCGGTTCTTGGCTGCTTCCCCTTTTGGTACCAGTAGTCTTTTTGTTTCAGTATTGCCAGAACAACAGACAAGTTTTGACTTTCCTCTGTGTTTCTGCTGAACCGTCCTTAGTAGCTCACAACTGGGCATTATTTGTGCTCCCAATTCTTCTCTTGCTTTGTTCTGGCGCATCCTGTCATACTGTATGGATGACATCAATACAGTGTGTGACATCAATTATACCCGTCGCACGGCAAATTTGTGATTTACAACGGATGACATTAGGTGAACTTAATGCTATTTTACCTGCCCCTGGTCACATAACGAAAATATAATATGAACGAGAACTAACATGGAATAATGCCTAGGAAAGTGTAGGGGATACACATACACATCCCTAATATACATTTAAATTACAGTTACTACAAGTGACATACCCTATACTTTCCTTGTAATGCAGATGTGTATAGGGGATGTGTTTGTGTATTATTGTCAGTCAATTCTCATTAAAGAAGACAAATGAGCCCTTAAATTTCTCCTCTGACGAAAATATATACTTTAAAATGATGTCGATGACCTTACCCCTCATGAGCCGTGATCTTGGGAGAAATGAAAATCTGTCAAAATCTTGCACATGTGTGCCTGTATCCTTGAAAATAATTCCTATCAATAAAAACCTGCTCCAAGAATATAAGTGCAGTTGTTTTGTACAATTTGCCACGGCTGCACGACACAAACAAGCTCCTTGTCAAGGCGAGAGCAAATGAAAAACCAACATGGCCGATAATATGACCAACATTGGATATGAGAGGGGGGGGGGGGGGGCACAATTGACACTTTGGTTGCACGAATGAAACAGCAGCTTGTGTGCTCACCCCCTTTATCACCAAAACACGTGCGATCTGGCTGTCAACATGAGCTGCTTCATCCAGGAAACACTCGATCATTAGGGCTTTATCACACGACATTGCAAGACAGCGCATGCATTTTTGTTCAGGTTGGCATGGGCATATTAGTTCCGCATGAAAAAGTTTAGTGCTTCCGGCACGACTTTCTTGCTTCGATAAATTATGAATGTCTCAATGAATATTTGTGTTGACATTGTAGGAAGAAGTCAACATGGAGGAGCCAACCCCCGAGCCAGAACCAGAACCTGTTACTCCAGAAAGCGAAGAGAGTGAAGTTGGTGAGAGAACTGAGCTATTTCGAGCAGTTGACCCGAATATTGAAGTCGAGAGAGTGTGATCTAACTTGACAACTTGCATTCGCAGTGCATGTTATGTGCAGTGAACTAAAACATGGTTTCATTACAGGCCTATGTCCATGCAATGTGTTGATGAGGAAGCATTTGGTACACTTGTTCTCATAAATTTCGCCGCAAGTTGTATTTATGTCATATGTTCTCTCTATAGACAACAAATGAAGAATGTATTTTTTTTACGAGAGTTACATAACAAGTAGCCCGGAGAGATTTAAAGAGGCAAAACGAGTGTACTTGGTATTGGCGAGGCTTGTGCATGTTGTTGTGGCCCGAGTTTTCTGGGGATTGGCAGTGAAAGAGTTAACAGAGCCATTTTATTGCGATAGAAGTTATATAGACACTGTCGACTGCTTTTTGTTGTCACAGTCATGTCCCCTATATTTTCCGACGCATGGAATCGAGCGAGCGACCTGTCATTCTGCAGCACGTGGCATTAAGCATTGTGCCACAAAAGCACTCGTGCTTTAATATATAGTCGTTTACAACTTTAGAAGTCGGTCGCATTTCCTCCCCAAAGGCAGATGCACACAAGCCTGCACCAATGGGCACGTACTTCAAACTGATGTCACGAGCCAGACGGCTGTTGACCCTGCCTGCAGAGAATGTTGCCGAGAGCAAGAGCAAGACTATTTCTGTAGTCGTTAAGTGGATCGGCTGCCGCACTTCGATTGTTTGGCCGGGTCCTCTCCCGACTTCTGAAGTTGTATCCGACTGTAGTATTTACATATTACGTACATTTAGCTATTTATATACACCATTTACTGCTGATGGTATGCCGATCTCGAGGGGAATACTGCCATGTTCTCAGCATTACCAGCGAGATGGCAAGCTTGGCGCCCTGCTCCTATGAACATGTGCGGGGTCGTGCACGCACTTATTTAGTGAAAGGGAGATTTGTACATCCTGGGTTTTCACTGGGGCGATTGCGTTGCACAGTAAAACTTGTAGTTGGGTGAGTTGGTTCATAATTCTGGGTAATGTGGCATGCACAAATGCAGACGAACGATGAATGTCTTGTGGGAAATGTTGTGTAGGTCATAAGGGGCGTTGCGTGAACGACCGTGCAAGGTAACATGAACTTTCACTTAGAAATAACGGGATCGTGCATTTGCCCGCGCATTGCAAGGCTTGCATGTGCTGACAGATTTTCTCAGAGATTAGGATTTCGGGTTGAAGTGCTGATATCAAAGACCGTGAACTGATGGAAGCCTTTTGTGTTAGTGATACGCCAATATTATTACTTGATAGTGAGTGTGATTTTTTGCGCGGCCTGCTATAAGATGTTTGGTTCTGATCTTGTGACCGCTTGATTGTGTTTTATGTGACTATATATATATGAAGGATGACAAAGAAATAAATTCAGTTGAAAGGAGGAGGAGGAGGGATAAATGAGGAAGGACAGGGAGGTTAGCCAGTTCTCAGACATTTAGTTGAAAGTTCACGCTTGTCCCTGTCTATGCTTTTCTGTTGTCGTTCGTCTGCATTTGCACACACCAGGCTACCCAGAATTGCATTGTAGTTGCAAAGCACACGCAGGTCGCTTCTCCCGCTGCCGAGTCCTTGTTGGCGAAAAGAATGCACTGTTCAAACACAGTGAAGTAACGACGCTGATGCGATTAAGTTCGTGGTCGTCCTTTATATGCCTGTGCGTGTACAATTCATGCGTCCTTTGAGTTTGAGCAGCGCGTTGAGTGTTGAGCAGTGAATGTTCTTAGTTTTTGGACGTCCTGCATGTGTTCTTTTTGTGTGTTCGTTCTGCTTTAGCAGTGTGTTGCCCATTTTGATCTGCTTGCCCTTATTTGTGTGACATTCCCGTTTGTTGCTATTGTATTGATTGCTTTACCTTTGCGGCAAAACTGTGACTTTTTTTTTTATTTTACAACTGAACTGAAGGTTAACTTAAATTTTTTTTTATTCCCAGAACTCTTGCTGCAATAATGTTTTTGTGGTGCTAAAATATTTCAACTCCTGTTCACGGATCTACCTTGGTATGCTTCTTGTATAATGTAGACCCTTTCTATTATTATAAAGCTAGCTTTTCTGCGATGCAGTTTGCTCATATAATGGTGGTTTGTCGCTTCTGCTAACAGCGTGTTCTAGCACAGTTTGCTTGCGCTATGACGTGAGCAGGGCAGCCACAGCTGTGTTGATATTAACTGAATACACACCAGCGCTTGTAGTGCTACTACGATCTCCTTTCCAAGTGTAGCACAACACGGGCTGCCATTAGTAGGGTGAATGCGCAGTGCAGGGAAGCACATTGGCAGGTGAGAAAAAGTCTGTTAAGCTGCACATTTCAGAGCTCCGTTTCCTACAAAAGCCCACCGCGGGATGTTGTCACTCACATTAATAGACAGCATAGCCGAGTGTTCGGTGTAACAAAGTAAAAGGACAAGTATGCAAAGTGCCATTTGTTCATGGTTTCATTTCGATCACTAATTTCATTTAGAGTTGGACAACAGTGGAGTTGTGGAGCCTGACCATGATGATCCATTGCCTATGGGGGACAGCAGTGTTGAGGTGAGTACATTACAGTTTCAAGTCGAGCTAATTATTTTGTTGAACACATTTTTGTCTTGGTGTGAAGGACTGCGAAAAAATCGGCATGACTTGTTATTAACATTTCTGGCTCAAACATCGGACAGTCCTTATGACATTGGTTAAGTTTGTCGTTACTGCATCACTTTATTACTCAGATGCATTTCTATTTCAGCATTGAAGAACATTATTCCTATTTCTGTAATGAGAACCTTCTTTTTTTTTCACAAGTGCATTTTATGGATCTCATGGTTGCCATTATATTAAGGCATTGTTGCCTTTTTTAAGTTGTAGTGTAGTGTAGGGGACCAGAAGGTCGCATGATCGAATCCTGCCTGTGGTGACCATAGTGTGATGGCCACAGTGTGATGGAGACAAAATGCTAAAAGTTTATTTGCTCGTATATAGGTACATAGGACCCCGCCATGGTCGAAATTCACGGAGCATTCCTCTGTGACATTTCTCATATTTATGTAGAAGTTTATTATTTGGAGTGTGCTGTAGGCAGGGTAAGCACTTGGGGGTGGGGGGGCAGCTGCTTTCTAAAATTTTCTCCAGCCTCCCTCTGCCCGCTCCCACTCCCCAAAAAAAGAAAAGACATATGCAAAGCACAGCTTTTAACTTCAGAGTGCCCCCTCCTCCCTTCTATTAAAGGGCCTGTCAACAGGCTCCAAAACGCGAAGGATAAGCTCACGCATTTTTCCTGCACGTGACCAACCTCCTTCATCGCGCAGTGACGTCAACTCGGCGATCGGCGACGTGCCGTAGCACGCAGCTCGTCGATTGGTATCAATAAAGAACCAGGTATCCAATAACGGTATCCAGTAATACCAGGTATCTAATAATATCCAATAACCAGTAAGCAATAAAGAATAATGTAGTCAATGTTGCCGATCGCCGAGTTGATGTCACTGCGTGTGGAAGGAGGTTGGTCAGGCGTACGAAAGATGCGCGAGCTTTTCCTGCGCGTTCCGGAGCCTGTTGACTGGCCCTTTAAGGTAATCCTGGTGCTACCCCTGGCTGTAGGTATTAACAGATATCAATAGGAAGCTTGTAATGCTTTGCGGGATGTTGTATGGATTGGTTGTAATTGAAATCAGACCTTTCATTTCCTCTCTCTCTCTCTAGGTTACAGAAGAGCAAATGGAACAGAGTTCTGAAAAGAGGGGACAGGCTATGGAAGCTCAAAGTGAAGGTAGGGCTTGGCTTTATGTTTGGTAATATTGTTGGTATAGAACGGCTTAGACACATTACTTTCTTATAATTTTCATCCTTACTTTTTTTCATTCTCTGTCGGAACTTCTTCTGGCCTATTTCTGGGGCCCTGTTTAATCATAGCCAACTGTTTAACTGCGATAGAGATGGTGTTCGTGTTTCAGAAGGTGACCAGATAAGGCAATGTGTTTGCCCAGCATTAACGTGAACCTTGCCTTAGTTTTTCTGATATTTTTCTTGCTCAGTGGTGATAATATTGCATTTATGCTATGATTTGAGTGAAATGTGGAAATCTCTTCCTGCCACGGAAATGGATTAATATTGGTCCATGAATGATTGTAAACCTGGCCTTCCCTCTCCTTTCTTTTTTCTGCAGGCAAACTTGAAGAGTCATTGAAGCTGTGGACCGAAGCCATTGAACTGAATCCATCAAGTGCTATTCTGTTTGCCAAACGAGCAAAGTGAGAAATTTCATTTTTGTATCGTTTTAGAGGAGAATTATTTTGAGTGTTTAGCCATTTGCGTTACTGGTTTTCTTTTTCTCTCAGAAAAGTTGCGCTTTTGGTCTGGTTAATTCTTGTCGTGGCACAAGCATTTCAGTGCCGGCAAAGTGGTATAGGCCCGTGCATTGCGCGTTATCAGTGCATGGAAAAGAACTCGAGATGGTCGAAATTTTCAGAGAAGGCATGTGTCTTCATTATAAAGTGGTTTTGGCGTGTAAGCTCCAGATATTATTATTATTATTATTGTCATCTTAGGCTGGTTGTTTGCCGATTCAAATTGAGAATAGCCCATCTATTTGCGTGTACTCACACACTTGCCTTAAAATGCAGACCTTTCTCTGTGTGGGTAAAAGGCTCGAAGGTTACATTGCTCCACTGTTTTCACATTTTCTGAAGCAGTGGTAGCACCGACTTGGATAGCTCTGCTTGGTGATGTGAGTTTGGCCTCCATTCGCAACGGCCACATGTTGGCAGGAATGAAATACGCAAACACCTGTGTACTTAGATACAGTGGCTCGTTAAAGAAACCCCAGCAAGTGGAATCACTCTGGAACCCTTGACTATGGTGTGCCTCATAATCATATTGTGGTTCTGGCACATAAATCAGCAGAACTCATTATGTATTTAGTGGTGGCACATGCGTATTAAGTAGCTTGGGGCTTCATTTTAATCTCTCGTATTGTCACAGTGTAATGATGGTGAAGGAGCAGTAATGCTATGAGAAAGAACAAGTGAAGAACCAAACGCCAAAAATGTAGTGTTTCAGTTGTGATACCTGCGGGTGTTTCTTTTTTTTTAAGTGTGTTATTGAAAATGGAGAAGCCAAATGCAGCCATTCGAGATGCCAACAAAGCCTTGGAGTTAAATCCTGACCAAGCTCTGGGCTACAAGATTCGGGGCAGAGCACACAGGTTAGTGTTTCATGCACTCTGAATTCCCGTGATGATGTTATGGTTTATTATAGAACTTCACTTTGGATTGCCTGTGTATTTTTCGGTTATGTGTTACTTGGTGTTAACCTAATACAGCCGAGTGTCACGAATTGGTGACATATAGAAAAGCTTTGAGCAAGCTAGTCATGAAATGAGTGCGACCTTTAATGCCAGCTGTGAAGCACTCCCGGGAAAAGTAGCTTTCAGCACAGAAAATTAAGCGCCGTCTCGTGCAAGGTATTCTATGCCAAACCAGATTGTATTGTAGCTGGTGGTGGAGAGCGCAAAGCACGTGCTACAGCTCTCACTTCGTTCTCTCTCTTTTGGTGATGTATGTTCTATAATAAATAATTTTGTTTATTTGGTGTGTGCGCACCCAAGAGGTGGCACACAACATGTTACGTTGTTCTGAAGTACGCTTTTGTTGAAAGGTCCTCATTTTCGTGGCATATCAAGAGTTCACGACATACCTAAATGTATGCATTAAAGTTGCATTTTAGATAATTTAACTGCACAAGGAAATGAAGGCTGCTATTTAAAGAAAAAAAAAGGAAAACAATCGTTATTTTATTTGGCAGTTTTATAATTCAGACATTGAAAGGTTACCGTAAAAACCCGCGTATAGCCCGGGGTTTTTTTCTAAAATTTAGGGTGCGAAATTTCAGCCCCGTACTATATGCGGATCCCAAAAAAGTTTCGGCCCGAATTCAGTTTTGGTTTTGGCATTGGTTGGTGCTATCATCATCATCAGGTGTCTGCGCACATCTACGTTAGGTGGCGTGGTAGCGTGAGCGGCGTTAGTCCTAGAGACCTACAGGTACAGGCGTGCATCAGGCGAGCAACAGTGGCCATTGCAATCACTTGGCGCACATCACGACGGCAATACGAAGAGCTGCTTGTCGCCTTTCAGAAGCACGTGATTTCTTTGCCAAAGGCAGTCCCCTTTCAGCTGGGCCAGATCGGCAATGCTGACCAGACGCCTGTGTACCTGGATATGCCCTCGGCTCTAACGGTGCATCAAAAAGGCTCCAGGCAAGTTACCGTGCGATCAACTGGAAACGAGAAAATGCGGGTAACTGTAATGCTGTCCTGCATGGCAGACGGGCACAAGCTGCCACCCTACGTGGTGTTTAAACGAAAGACGCTGCCGAAGGGGGAGACGTTCCCAAAAAATGTTGTCGTCTGCTGCCAGGACAAGGGGCGGATGGACGAGTCACTGGTGTTGGACTGGATCAAGTCTGTGTGGTGTCGACGGCCCGGAGCACTGCTGGGGCTCCCATCGATGCTTGTGCTCGACGCGTTTCGGTGTCACCTGGCGGACTCCGTGAAGCGACTGCTGCGCGACTCATGCACCGAGCATGCAAGTGTGTAAATAAATGCATTTTTTCTGTTTTCCTCGAACAATATTCGCGTGAAAATGTTTTTTCTCGCGTTTGCTATCCCCGAGTTACACCTCGAACTATACGCGAGTCCGAACTATACGCGGGTTTTTACGGTAATTACAACACTTCAATATAAAAACTACAAATGATGCTTTCTGTGCTCTCCGTGGATTTGTTATCTGTAGGCTTCATGGGGTCGCACTTAACTTTTCTTGCTTCCTGTGAAACTGGTGGCAGTAATTTGCGTAAACCAGAATTGTTGTTTTACTTGCAGGCTGCTGGGTCACTGGGAAGAAGCTGCAAAAGATTTGGCCACAGCCTGCAGGCTGGATTACACTGATGAAGCCAACGAGTGGCTGAAGGAAGTCGCACCAAACGTGAGCTTTGTAGCTTGTTTCATTTTCCTAGCTTCTACAGCTTCTTTTCACCCTTTGAGGCTCGTTCAATCGTCCAAATTTTTTGATGGGTGCATTTAAGATCCAGTAGAACTTGTCCTTTAAGATCAGTAGAATTCGTCAAGCAATGGAAAAGAAAATGATAGGCGTAGCTGTAAGGGACAGGAAGAGAGCAGATTGCCAGATGCTGGAAGTTGTGAAAGAATATGTCTACTTAGAACAGGTAGTAACCACTTAGCCGAACCATCAGAGTGAAATAGCTAGAAAAATAAGAATTGGGTGGAGCACTCTTGGCAAACATTCTCAAATCATGACTGGTATTTTGTCACAATCCCTCACGAAGAAAGTATATAGCAGCTGCATCTTGCCGGTACTTGCCTACAGAGCAGAAACCTGGAGGCTTACAAAGAGGGTTCACCTTAAATTGAGGACGACGCAGAGAGCGATGGAAAGGAAAATGATACGCGCAACCTTAAGAGACGAGAAGTGAGCAGAGTGCGTCAGAGAAGAAACCGTGGTTGAGGATATCTTTGTTGACATCAAGAAGAAGAAGTGGACATGGGCCGGGCATGTAGCGTGTAAGCAGGATAACCGCTAGTTATTGAGGGTAGCTGACTGGATTCCCAGAGAAGGCAAGTCGGTGAGAGGGAGACATAATGTTGGGTGGGCAGATGAGATCAAAAAGTTTGGGGGTACAAAGTTTCAGCAGCAAGCACAGGATCAATTTGACCGGCGGAACATGGCCTGCAGTGAGCATAGTCAGGCTGATGATGATAATGATGATGAATCGCATTATTTTTTCACTTTTTTTTTTTACACTGACCACTGTTTGTATGGTGCTCTAATGGAAATACTTTTCTGTCGGAGGCAACTTTGTTAAGAGGTTTCACTGTACAGTTTGCATTAGAGGATTCATTTTCAAGTAACATTTCTGGAGAATCTGCTTTTTTTGTATTGAGCATAACATGCTGCAGCCCTTTTTTTCATATACTAATTGTGTTTGCCTGTGCCAACACACTTATTCCACCTGCTGCAAGAAAGAAGACAAACACATTCTAGTTCACATACCAGTGCCTTTGTGGTTTCCTGTGCAGCGCAGACCATCTGGGGACTCTGTATTGCTCTATTGTGCGAAGTGCCTGCTCTTTATTTTTTGGATAATAAAGCAATCACGTGAGCTAATGTAACCCTTTGCTGCTTGTTTACTTACTTTCTGAGGCTTTTATGTGGAAGGTAGTCACTTCAGTACTGTACTATTTCAATAAAATCAAACTAGACAGCACTAGCCTGCCTGCGCCAACATCACGGTCAGGTGCACGCCCTGTCCAGCAATTTCTTACTATGGCACTGACGTCGCCTAGTTACACATCTAGCAGCAGCTGATGGGAAGTGACATTGTGGTATAGTACAAAGGGGAAGGCGGAAGCTTGTGACGATAAAATCTATAAAGGAGTGTATGCTCAAGGAGACGTTTCCGCAAGTGAATGTGTCGTCTTCACGGCTGGAACTGATTTCTGTAGTGCTAGTGTGCTTATGCTTTGTACCCTCTCCTCCGATCCAAACAAAGGTGGAAATGAGGGGAACTGGGAAAGTGTGGCTAGTGTTGGTGGTAGGGATGGCCACGATGAATTGCGTGAATCGAAGTCAGTAAGTAATACAGTGGACTCCCAATAAACGAAACTTGCATAAATGAAAAGGCCTCAATAACGGAACTAAACGGGCTCATGTAGATGGATTTCTATGTGTTGTGCAGTAAAATTCGTTCGTTAATCGAAACAGTGCTTATTGGTCACCTGAGGTTAAACGGCACAAACTCTAAACACAGAATAGACTCGCTCATGTCGAAGGTGGTCTCACAACCATGGCAACATCTCGAGATTGAGACAAACAATCCAGTAGCCATTCTCGCTTGTGTCTGTGGGAGCGGAGCCGGTGAGTCAATTGTGCGTTAGGCCGATTTGTGCGGCTAAGTGCGGTGGATCACGGTGTTATTTCAGCCCAATGGAAAGGAAGCGGCCGCAGCATGCACTCTCGCTTGAAAAAAAAAAACTTCACACTCTTCAGGAGCTTCATCGAAGCAGCCTGCCCAGGACGGAGATGGCGAAAAAACACATCCCGAAATCGACTCTGTTGCGGATCTAGAAAGAACAGGACCTTTGCATCTAAACGGATGCGAATGTGGACGACGCCTTATGAACAACTAGAAAAAGTTCTTTTTCTGTGATTCAAGCGTGAACGGAGTTCCAATTTGCCCATAAGCGGACCAATTCTCGAACAAAAAGCTCAAGAGATCGCCATGCAAATGGGTGTTAAGAACTTTGTCCTAAGCGACGGTTGGCTCAGCGGCTTCAAAACATGGCATGGCCTAGTCTTCAAAGCAATCTCAGGTGGGAGTGGTGCAGTCAACAGGCACATTTGCACCAACTGGAAACAGGGGCGGCTTAAGGAAATTTTGATGAGCTTCGAGTCACGAGACGTCTTCACCGTCTATTCGATGGGTCTTTTTTATAAGGCACTTCCATCAAAGGCTCTCATGTTCAAAGGCGAAGCCTGTAGTGGAGGAAAACGCAGTAAAGATCGCATCACTGTGCTGGTGGGTGCAAACATGGCAGTAGATGAGAAATTGAAGCTGTTGGTGATGGGAAAATCAAGGCACCCACGTTGTTTCAAAGGCGTTCCGACACCTTCCCGTTGCGTACCATGCGAACGGAAGAGTGTGGATGACCATGGCCATTTTCGAAAACTGGCTGTGGGAGGCAGATGTAAGATTTACGAGGCAAGGCTAGAAGGTTGTCTTCGTGGATAATTGCCCAGCCCTCGGTCAGGTTCAAGGACTCCAAGTCATCACTCTGGAGTTCTTGCCAGCCAATGCAACGGCAGTGATCCAGCCAATGAATCAAAGGGCTATTCAAAAATTAAAGTTCATTACCACAGACAATTGCTCCATCAAATGCTGCTGAGAGCAGGCAGCGGGAAATGCTACAGCATAGATTTATTGGCAGCCATCCACATTTTGGCTTGTGTCTGGGAGCAAGTGAAGGCAACAACAATACGCAGATGCTTTCACTATGCTGGCTTTTAAGCGCAAGAAAGCAGTACCTGATAAAGAAAGCCCTGCTGATGCCGACATTGATTCAGTCAGGTCGTGCCATCTGCCCCTTTCACGCTGCAGGACTACGAATCAATTGATGAAAATGTTTGTACCTGTCATGAAGAGACTGTAGAAGAAATGATTGCCGAAGTGCAAGATGATGATCAACCTGCCAGCAATGAATGTAATGACAATACTGCCAGTGCAGTGGTGCCACCAGACCGGTCTGCCAAATAGGCTGTTGAACTTTTGCAGTGCTATTTTGAGCATGAGGCTTGTCCAAAATTTCTAGCTAATTTGTCAGGCATGGGTGCGTACCTTGTGAAAAAACAACTCAAGCTTGCCAAACAAACCACTCTCTACTCTTCTTTTTTTTCTCCTACTCATCCTCATGCGTAAGGTGAGGTTTGTGCTATTTGAATAAAGGTCTTGTTCAACTAAATAAGTTTACTGTGCTTAAATGAAACTTCTGATAAATGGGCCAGTTTTATGGATCTCCGTCGAGTTCCGTTAAGGAGGAGTTGACTGTATGTGAAGTTAAAGGGGAGGGGGGGGGGCACATAACATATAAACACATACCTGCTAAGTCTCTCGGATTGTCCAGGAGACTCCTGGAATTTGACTGTTTTTTTCTGTTTGTACGGTTGTCATGAAAAGCTCCCAGAAATAGAAATTTCTGTGCGTGATCTGGCGGCATCGACAAAACTGCAGGTCAGTCCGCTCCAGGCTTCTTGCGAAGCCGCCGCATTTTATTATAAACGAATTTAGTAGGCATTCATTTAAAAACGTACAGTAGAATATCAATGGCGGCAGATGCGAATTCGTGAAATTCTCCAGCCAAATTTCACTGTGTCCATGGTACCAAAATTCGAATATTCCGAACACTTTTCCTAATTGCGGTGTGTGATATGAGCTTTAGTTGTAGTGAAACCGTTGAATGAAGGCTGATCGATATGCAGGGTGCTCGAAGCTTCAGAAGTACACGTGCGACCAGCACACACACTGTTTTCTAGAGTGCGTGTGGTTGTTGCCACAACTGCTGTGGACGAAATCACGGTCGTTCTTGACACGATCATCTATGGCGACGACGTTACTGACAGAACTCCGAAAGTGTGCGCGCATCCAGCGCTCGAGTACCAAGTCAAAGCAATGCTGCTTTCCCCAAACTTGTGGACAATGCCACGGCAGGTGCGATCATAGATAGCATAATAAAATGACTTAGTTTTGAAGGCACTTGTGCAGCCAACGCACGTGGATTGAAAATGAACTACAGTTTCCTGTAACTGCGGTCGCAGCGCCGTGATAGTAATCTACGAGCTCCGAGGGCACGTGGCTAACGCAGTGGTAAATCAAAGGGAGTAAAGACGTGAGAAAAAACGCAGTGGTAAATCAAAGGCAGTAAAGACGTGAGAAAAAAAAAAAGAAAAGGCTAGAAGTGTTTTGGCGTTCCTGTTTAAAGAATCTAGTAGCGAGCAAAGCCAAAGCTTTGACCCGCGCTTTCGCGGCAGCCAGCTGCGCTGGTCTTGTCTGTTCACGTGTGTCCTAGGAAGACGTACGCGAGTTGTTTTGATGAAAATAAATTTTGCTAGTTTTTCGGTGACGCAAAATTTTGGAAGTATTTGCGCTCCCCCTAATGACTATGAGGAGTGGGAAACCTACCCTGTGTGTTCGACTCCAAGCCATCATAAGATCGAAACGTCGATGTTGGCGCTTGCGATTGGGACCCTACCCCCTCCCTCCTTTTTTTGTTTGTTTTTGGGTCCAACAAAAATGCTGAAAAATAAATCCTTGAACTTGGCAGGTATGTAAACACTAGTGCTAAGGAAATGAGTTCCAGCGTTGGAGAAAAGTCAATTTGTCGAAACAATGGCTCGAGCTCGCACTCTATTTA